GGGCTACAACTTTTGTTTCTGACGCCCACCCCTGCGTCCTAACGTCTTGCTCATCCACTTGTGACCATTTCAGACTTCAGACCTTGAAGAAACATCGTCCAGAAGCTCCCAAGAGGTAAGAACCGTGATCGCTCGCTCAGGTCTCTTCCCTCGGATGGGGCGAGGGGGTCCTTCGGCCATCCACTCGCTCCCTTCACTGCATTTCATTTCTATACCAGCCCATGAGTGCCACGTATTCTTCTAGGTGGTTCACAACGCAGTCAACAAACCTATACAGTAGGTCTCCCAAATCTGCAGGATCAGCATCCGTGGGTTCGCTTCTCCGCGGACGGCGGCTGTTAGAAAACGCAAGAGGTTGACTGCGTTTGTAGAATTCCTGCCGGACGAAAATTTTCTTCTCCTCCTCTGTGTTTTCTTCTTGGAAGACGAGAGAAGGGGAGCAGAGTTCACAGTCCTTCACAGAAAAAGATTGTTCTCTTTCTCTCTTTTTTCCCCTTGCGCGAAGCTCACCTCGCTCGGAAACCTGGACGAAGAGTTAAAAGGTGCTGAGAAAGGTAAGGCGGCTTCTCTGAGGCTGGCGAGACTTTCTGGCTCTGGTCCGAAGGCCAGGTTGGGGGGGGGAATCTGGCTTTGGAAGCCTTCCCCCCCTGCAATGTTTGCTTACCTTCTCTCCCCCCCCCTCTTCTTCCCACTCCTTTCCTCTCTCACGCACGCCCAGAAAAAGGCTCCGACGCTCCAGAGGTGCCCTTCAACGCTCTGGGAAACAGACCGCGACTTCAGGTGCTCGTTCACTTGTTTCTTTCTTTTTTAGGCCTTAGCCACCGGCTTATTTCCTTTTTCAAGCTGGAATACTTTCCGCTTGGAGGGGAAGGGTGGAACGGCAGCAGGAACCCGTGACCTGTGGGATCAGGACCCACTGATTCACCTATCCAGAGTCTGGAAATATTAAAAACATGAAAAGAAAAATCCTAGAAATATATATGAGATCCATATCTGCTGATTCACTTATCCACAAAATATCTATCTGTCTGTCTGTCTGTCTGTCCTTGATCTTCCTTTGCTTTTCCAGGAAGAGGGTCAACTCGATGCCGAGCTGGTCGAGAAAGGTCGCCGGCGAATGAAGGACACCTTTGAGCATTACCGGAGGTAATTTCTTCCCCTGCTTCCGCTCTGCCCACCAAGCGGGGAAAAGAAACAGCCGGAAAGGTGCTTGCTGCGGCCGAGCGGGAATGGAGTCGGATGCTTTGAAGGCTCCATGTCTTTCCTCTCAGCCCAAACGTTTGCCCAGTGTTGTGAACCCAACACGCCTGCGCGACGCGTCCTGGCAAACCCACAGATCCCCCTTCCCGCGTCCTCCCAGGGAGTAGGACAAGACCGACGGGAAATGGGGTTGGGACCCTTTCCGTTTTCTTCTTGTGTCCATCCCCCCCCCCCCCACACGGCCTGTTNNNNAGAGTCACAGAGGCTGGTTTGGCTGAGCTTTGCCTCTCAATCTCTTTGGAAACTGGATTTTTATTTTATTTTATTTTCTCCAGAAAAAGAGCCCTGAGGAAAATGCACAAGGTCCGGGCCCACGCGGTGGATTGGAAGCACAGCTCAGGCAGCGACAACACGGATACCGAGGGCTCCTAACGGCGGCGGGGGCTCCGCGCGGAAAGGGGTGCGATCAGCTGCCGTTGTGACTTTAAAACGTCCGCGCTCCTGCGGCCGGCCGCTGTCTCGGCTTCCCTTGAAGAAAGAGCCGCTGGGACAAACCCATCGTGCCGAGGGAGATGCTCCCGATCCATCCACGAAAGTTTACCGACTGCAGGACGGTTATTTTTCGTGGACTAGAAAGGCCGGATTGGCCGCCTCTGGCTGTGAAGGACCAGCAGTTTCTTTTATTTGAGGAAGAAAAAGTCGTGCCCGAGGCTGGGAGACCCTTCTTTTTTTTTAAAGACCTTTTGCTTCAAGTCAGGCTGGAGGGAGGGAAATGGAAACGAAAGACACCCCAGGACGGCAGGGTTTGGACCAAGGAGGGTTTTTAGAAGCTAGCCTTGAATATTGTGACGCTTTTTGAGGTCCGGTTGGAAAGGACTCGATCCGATCGTCTTGGGTTTCGATGCCCTGCCTGGACTGGGGGGGTTGGACTAGATGGCCTTTGAGGGCCCCTTCTTGCTCTGTGATTCTATGAAAATGCCGCATCCTGGCGACCGTGGGGACCGCCTGGAGCCAAAGTGGATGGGGGTTAGGGCATCATCTTCTTCCTCTGTGTGCTGTATGCATGTTACAATGTGTCCTATTTAAAGTGTTTATTTATTTAACCATATTTTTGCCCCGCCTTTTTCCTTTAAAAAGTCCCTTTTAGCATCCTGAAAAGGCAATATTTAAAGCAAACAAAAACAATTAAGTGTACAAATATTGAAAAAGGGATCAAAGCAAGGCTACTCTGAGAAATGGCAAACAAAAGCAGTAACTACAAACACAGCCAGAGCACAACAATCACACACAGGGGAGCGGGTTTACGGAGGGAAAGCTCGCCTGGAGAGAAAAGGCTTGGCCTGCTTGCGGAAGGGGAGCCAAAAGACGGGGGCAAACAAAAACAATTAAGTGTACAAATATTGAAAAAGGGATCAAAGCAAGGCTACTCTGAGAAATGGCAAACAAAAGCAGTAACTACAAACACAGCCAGAGCACAACAATCACACACAGGGGAGCGGGTTTACGGAGGGAAAGCTCGCCTGGAGAGAAAAGGCTTGGCCTGCTTGCGGAAGGGGAGCCAAAAGACGGGGCCCAGCCTGGCCTGGAGAGAAAAGGCTTGGCCTGCTTGCAGAAGGAGAGCCAAAAGACGGGGCCCAGCTTGGCCTCCGGTGGCAGGGAGTTCCAGAGGCTCCGGGAGCAGCCACTGAGAAGGCCCTCCTCTCCTTTAAAGGCACCGACTATTTTCATGGCTGTGCTTTGATGGGAGGGACTGGTTTCCAAACCCAAGCGTGCTGATGAACGGATGCTTTTCTTCTTTCTGCACACCAGAGCCTTTGACAACGTGTGAGTGAGCCAAGCCCTTTGGCCCCCTCTTCCATTTAAGCTTTTCCCAGGAGTTGGTTTATTTACTTATTTACTTATTTCTTTATTATATTTGATGGCCGGCTTTCTCCATCCCTGGCTCCCTCCCTGCCGGCTCCGGCAAGCCCCCGGGCGGCGCCAAGAGGGGGCGCGCCTCTCTCC